ACATTTTAGGAGTTTACCACTTCTAAATATCACATTTGTAATATTATATTATCCTATGAAATGTATACAGAAGAATGAAAAATATCTATATATCTATAAATCTCGGTTCGGTTAACAATATCTATAGATATAACAAATTGTAATAGTATATTCGGTTTGGAATACGGCATATTCCGCTTAAATGAAAACTTTGTCACACGAGCCGAAGGCGAGTTTGACGGTTTCACTAGAGCGAAATATGCAATTGCAAACGTGTTTCAGTCTATACTTTTTGTACGTTTCCAAAAAATACCATAGAAAAATGGTTTAATTGGGAGAAAGTACCCAAGCAACAATTTAAGTATTTGTTACGTATATGGGACTATTGAAGAAACTTTGTTTTGCGACAGTCGCTGGTCTCTTTATATTACTCTTTCATTACTATAAGTTACGACTAAAGTGAGAAACAATAATTGAGTTCCAAAAAGGTAGCAAATATGTCACTAGCTATAAACCCTGCTACTATTTGAAACGTAGCTGCTATAGCTATAACGTATACGTTATTATAACCTTTCAATATCGTTGCTAGAGCGTTATAATTACTTTTATTTATTTGTTTTTACTTCTATATTAACTGTCTTTGTCAAACTTATATTAGATTATACTATCCCTCCTTTTTTAAATAGAACCACTACGGACTTGGCTTTTGAATGTCGTCGTTAATTAAATATGTATACCAGTACCTATAGGTAGTTTATAACTTCCAGAATAGCAATATAATGTTTAATTAGGCAGGTAAATTTATAAACCCTTTAAATTTTACTGTTGAACTTATGAATTTAGTTTTTGTAAAATAAATGCGCTTCATCAATATTTAAGTATAAACAAATTATTTATTTAATAATGTTTATAAATAAAAAAATCTTAATATTTATTATTATTTTTTTATTTAATTATTAATACCGTCTATTACCAACAAAATTACTATTTATTAAAAAGTAAACAACCATTTACAAACAATTAAAATAATTTATTATTTACATTACCACGTGGCCGATAAGAAGCATTTTCCTTTGAAGTAGTTTGCGCTACTTTAAAGTTTTTTTCCACCTTAATTTAATTTACGGTAGTTTTGGTTAGTACCATAAACGTTCCAAATACTAAAATAATAACTTTTAACTTTGTACTTTATAACTCATGTTCCAGTTTCAAGATTTTAACTTGCAAAGGGACTACATGTATTATTACATATTATTATTATTACATATATTAGTATTATACATTTTTACTTTGCAAAGTAAAAATAATTATAATGTAATATTTAGGTAGAAACCGAAAGTAACTGCTACAAATTAAATTTACTTGAAAGTTTTTTTTACTTATAACACCTTTTTTAAAATTGCAAAGTCTTCTTGGGGGCAACCAAGTTTTACTTAAATGTTTATTACTTTATAGTAACCATTTAAGGAAAGAATGAAGTTTCTGTTACAAAATAATGCTATTTAAAGGATAGAATTACTTTTAAGTAAAAATTAAAGTAGCTTTTTAGTATACTTAACTAATTTAAAGTTATCACCACTCTGGTAATGGTTTTTGGAAGCAAAAATGCTGCTTGGGTAAGGTTGAATCGGTCTAAAATTTGTTAAATATTTAACACAGAGATGTCGCCCATCATCCGATGATAGAATATTTCAATCTGTTATACTTTAAGAAATATATGTCATTCCACATTAAAAAGTAATATAAGAAAGGTCATATTGCGTAATAGGAGTAGAAAAAGTATATTAAAAATTTTCAATAAGTGTAATGTAAATAATGTTATAAGAAAAATGCGCACAGTTTTTAATAACAACAGTTCACTATACCAATATTTATAAGGTGTCACGTAAATCGTCCTGCTGGGTATATATTTACAGAATTAACAGAAAAAGCAATAAAACGATAATGAAGGACATGATCGCGCCCAATAACGAAATTATCTTCAATAATAAAGTAGCCTAGTCGACCCTCGACTGTTTGTTTCAACAAAACGTGAGGTAAACGTCTACCACGATTGATTATGTAGTTTTTGTCTGCCATTCAGAAACAAATATTTTTAACCTTACAGTCAAATTTATTTCCTGAGGACATATTTTATTGGTAACAATAGGCTTAAATAAATTTTCTGAAAATTATTGGAGCTCTTTGATTGAAAAATAAATTAAACTCTTAATAAAAAATAACAATAAAGGAAATAACATTTGTTTTTATTTGGTTGGATCGGTCTAAAAGTTGTTAGAAAATAAACACAGAGATGGCGCCCCTAGTGTTTATTCCGTCATCCGATGAAAGAATAATTTATTCTGTGACACTTAAAGGAATATATGTAATTCCACTTTAAAAAGTGATGTTAGAACGGTCATATATTACACATATAATAAAAACAAAAGATGGTAATGTTAACTCAAAATATAGTAGCCAAGAAATTGGATGAACATTTAGATTATTGTGTGTGTTTACATGTTAAACTTTTTTATTTTTAAAACTCCATGGGCTAAAGATACCTTTATAACGATTTTTGGTTTTAAATTTTTTTATTTTATTTTAAATATTTTGAAAACCACTGGCTTTTTTCCAATTTGTAATTCCGCAACTTTTCTCTAATTAAACCGACCTTGGAGCTCATCCAATAAAAAAATACCCATGGAAGTATACACATTTACTTGGTGCACCCTGTATAACCAAAGGTTGTCATATACTTTTTTCGAGATTAAGTTTAAAAAATAGAATTTTAAAATATCGTAAACAATTTTTGGCGAGCTGAAATACGAAATTGCACAAAGGAGTTTTTTGGTATAAGAAAAGAAAAGGACACAAGTCTGTATTGTACTTTTTATGGATTAGAATAACCATTACCTTTTTCTTAGTATAATTTTTAACTTTTTAAACAAAAAACATTTTAAAACAAAAAAATACTACTGCCAAAATTTGTTCAAGTTTTACGAAAAAAAAATATTCCTTTTAAAAACTCCTGCTTGTTTAAAAATCGAGATTCCCATTACAAATGTTTATATGAACTTTTTGCTTTAATTTTAAAAGTTCTTTCGGGTATTAAAGTTTTGCGATAAAAATCTAAAAATCTCTGTATACAGGGTATCTCTGAATTTTGTCTAACAATTTTAAGGAGTGACTTTATAGCGCAAAATATTTTAAAAAAATCTTAAGAGCACTCAAAATTTATATTTTATTTTTTTTTATCTCAGGTGTAAATTTTACTTAAAATAATACATTTTGGCACAGGCACTACTGTTCACAAATGCAATTTTTCTGTAGTAGACCCGTTATTAACAAACAAGGACAAGGACACCCCCTTATTTTTTTGAGTTACGTATTTTGGTTCCATTTTATGACTTTTCATTTAATTTTACCAGAAAAACGTGCTCATATTTAAGTAACTAAAACCAACTGTTAAAAAAAAAATTGGTTCTGCGTTATTAAAAATTTTAAAGCCATTTTTCTTAAAATATTTTGTTTTAAACAAGATGATCTTTTTTTTAGTGAAATCTAATAAAAAAAAACAAAAAATGGAACCTACATACTCAATAACGTAAATGGACGTAGCTTTATTATAAAGCATTTTGAACCCCTTGTTTTTGGAAACTTTTTTTATATTTGGGCTGAAGATGACATTCGCAGAAACCCTGTATATTCGGCTTGCCCCTGGTAACATTCAATTAAATTTATAAAATTAAATCACACTACAAAGATACCATGCAATAGGTCATTTCGATAAATTTTGGATAAATCACATGTAAAGTTGACTGATTTTGGGCATTTTTTTAATGTGATTATATTGGTTTGTACCCTATTCGTCAAGTTGATTTTTCACTAACATGGAATAAATTTATCCTAAAGGAGAAAAAAATATTCAATTTTAATGTTTTAAAAAGATACATAGTAGATTAGTAGATGAGCCCATTTTAGTGAAAAATCGACCTTGACAATAACCAAAAATCAGTCAACTCTACAAAATAAGTATTAGTATAAGTATGAGCGCTTCTGAAAAAGTTTTATTAAAATTGATCAAGTATACTTGATAGTATAGTTTCTAAGATATTTGTTTTTTTTTATAAAACAACACTTCCTGTGTATTTTAAAACAAAGGTTTAAAGCACACAATATCCCATATCCTTTTTACTTATGCGAGTTAAACCAACTGTTACATTTTCCCGATTTATTTATTGCCCAAAATTAAAAAACAATAAACTAACTATGCAAAATACTTAGATACAAAAGATAATTTTATAGAAAATCATTAAAAAGAAAAATATCGAAAATAAGTTTGGTGCCTATCCTCAAAAAGATAAAATCGTTATGTTATATTAATATATTTATAACTTTTTGGACATCATAAAGCAAACACGTAGTAATTTTAATTTAATTTAAATCAGATGATTTTTTAAAGACACCTCTGGTGTTTAGTTTAATTAATATTATTCTATTATAATAATTATGTCAGAATATCCTTACAACTTGATTTTTCGTAAATTTTATAATGTGCCCGCTATATTTTCATTTATATTAGGTAATTATTATATGGTATAGGTATAATACTTACCTACCTTACTTCCACGTGTTGCTTTGTAATATATGGGAAAGGTTTCTTAATTTTTATTTTGTTTAAAAAGCATATACGGATTACTTAATAATATTTATGTGTATACATATACATACATAAACACAACAATATGTATTTTGAACACAACAAGTAAAAATACAGGGTATAATAAAATATGTAGGTACAAAATAATTTTCCAAATAATTACATAAATTTCTAGTGCTAACCACAAAAAATATCATTATCATCAATAGTCAATAAATAAATAGTAAAAACTCAATTTAAAAAGCAATAATAAAAAAATATTTACTTAAGTAACATGGTAGGCCAGCCGGAGATCATAATTTAATAAAGTGCAACTTGCTGGCCAAAGAAAAAATAAACGATAAAAAACAACATGTTCAAAAATTGCAATAACTAGAGTAATTATTACTCTAATCGACTTTAAAAAAATTAATTTCACATAGTAGGTAAAATAAAATACACATCATTTTGTCTATCAGAATTAACATGTTCAAACCGAAAGGTAGTATATACAGTTCTTGTTTAGCTAGAGGAAACTTATTATTTCCTATACTAATACAGATACATGACACAAAACCTACAAACTTATAGGTAGGTCTGGTTAGTACATGTTGTTTATAATTATTATTATATTCAAATTCGGATTTCTAGAGAAGGTTTCTTTTAAGTATATTACAATAGTTTAGTGGCAGACACCAAGCAAAAATTTAAACTGGACTGAACTTAGACATAACGTTAAAAAAACATGTAAAATTTGCATAAAGCCACAGATTTACAGGTACCTAAAAGTATTTTTATATATACATCAAGTTTTGAAAGGTAAAAAACTTAACTAAAACTAACACAGGGAAAATATGGCTCATAATAGTTAGCTTTTCTATACCTGCAATAATTTACTATACATTCAAACTACAGGCAACACTGATTACAGATTAACATACCAACGAATTACAATCTATGACAAAAATGACAGTCGACGTATGTACAGTAAGTCTTACATGCTGCATGAATTTTTATTAATTAATATTATTATGTATCATCACGTACATTATTTATTTTTAAATACATAAAAGTCGCTTACACCTTAAATCTGGTGCGGACTTGAATTCCGTGCTTTGCACTCAATATACAAATGATTTGCACAAGCCCTAATAATAACTAAATGTAAATTAAAAGTCTTTAATCAGTTCCATATAAATTCACATACCTAACAAATTCTAATTTACCTCTTTGGCACTGCAAAGAAAAACGTTCGTATTACAGGGTCCGTGGTACTGCGCCCTCAAAAAAACAAAACAAAAACAATAATTAATGTAAAAAAACAGAACGTTTGACACTTAAACTAATAAACTAGAAGGCCTAGGTCGTTAGACCATGGTGATGGCCCAATACGACCCCGGAAAACGCCATAGGTCACTGATGATGTTTTAAAGTCCCGTTCGCCGAAACGTGGTGATTCACCACGTGATGTTGCGAGTGCACGTGGTGATTGGCCGCGTGATGGTGATGATTTTGATTATTCGTCACCGAATTATTGTTATTTTGCGTCGAAGATTGCTGGCGCTGCGAATTCTTCTTGTTCTTCATTCGTCTGTTTTGGAACCAAATCTTTACCTGTCTCTCCGTCAGGTTTAGGTTCCGCGCCAGCTCCCACCGTTTCTGTTTTGACACGTACGCGTTAAACAGGAACTCTTTTTCCAGCTCGAGCGTCTGAAATTTTGAGTACGGTTTGCGCTTTTTTCTTACGGTCACCTGCCCGGTCCATTCCAACGGGTTCGCTCCGGTCCCGCACGGCACGCTTACACCCATCGAGCCTAGCGAACCTGAAGCAAACAAGGATGGGGATGTACCCCACATAACTGTGAAAATTAAGTATTTTCCAAACATATACATATTGTCCAAACATAACCCCAATAATTTAATTTTCCAAAGCATCAATTAAAATACTAGAACACCATCAATATGTACAGTTTACTTTTTCCAATTTACTGCATTTACACTTGAATCGGAAAAAGATCTTAACCAAAAATAAAAAACATCAAAATCAAGGTTGCTTAATTAATCTAGTACATCAAATTTGAAAAGTGAAGATCTTCCAATTAAATTTTGATAACGATCAAAGCTTCATTAAATTGAAATAGGGGAATGAATACATGACAAACGAAATCATAAAAATAAATGTTTTAAAATTAGTGTACTCAATTTTTTAAAAATTATAAAAATAATTAATAAATAAAACCGTCTCTAATAAAACTATTGATCAATTTTATTTAGCCATCGAATTTCAGTGTCAAGGAATACAAATCAGAAATTTCGTAAGTCGCAAGCGTGCGTGACAAGAGATAGTCAGCTGAGCGGTCATGTGATCTGTCTGTGACGTCATCCATATTAAAGTGCGGTCGTTAGCCGAAGCCAGAAACTCAGCAGCAAGACTGGAAACCATCGAACTAAAAAGGCTCAATAGTAAGCTTAGGCCTGATTGAAATTATTTTTTTTTTTTAATTTTGAATAAATTATAAGCAAATTAACATGTTTGTTATTAAAACTATTAAGTATGTAAACAAAGAATCGTACACTTAAAAGTTGTTTTAAGAGTAGTTAAAACACTTTTACTATGGCAATAAAACTGACCTAACTCATAACATTGTTTAAAAGTCCTCAATGAAAAGAACTTAATTAATATTGCCCATTTATGAGTTTTTTTGTTTGTAAGATATAATATCTACATTATCTTATTGTATAACTGTCAAATTACAAAACGATTTGCATATTTGCCCAATAAATATAATGTGATCATTATCTTTAATGTGGTAGTTTTTGGTCAATTAATTATGCTTGTTAGTAGCGGATATTTATTTAAATGTTGGTATTTAATGTATATTTTTTTATAAAAAGGTAAAGGTTAAAAATAATTTAAAAAAATGTATTCTTTAAAATAAAAACAAAACATTGTATTGTACATTCACGGGGTTGGAATGTAGGTATCGATTTTGGTTATCGTAGAAGCAATGCGTACACGACTGGTAATGTGAAAAACATTCAAAGGGGTCCAAGATAAGAGGGTTACTCGTTTCTCGTCTAGGCCGGCTATAACTATTTTGAATGCCTCCGCCATCTATCGACGAACTCAATAAGTGTATAGTCGTTACACGTGCTGGAATGTCTCAAATGTTTTTGTTGACGTTCGTAAAGAACAAGTGTTTTTTTAATATTTTTTGTATGCATGGAAAGTTAAATTATTTAAAAAAATATAAATATTATTATTAGATAAATAAAAAAGTTAAATTAGGCGATAAAAACAGGTTTTGAACATATAAAAAAATTGGTGAAAGTTGATTGAGACTATTCTAAAACCAAATCTTTTTTATTTACTAATAACAACGGTACTGACGGCATAAAGTTATTACTCACCAGGAGGAGGGTAAGGTGTGGATGGAACTGGTTCTGGTCCGTAGTTTCTTAGGCCGTGTCCGCTGTCGTAAGCATGAGCGAATGAGGCGGTTTCGGCCACCATGGCGGCGGCAGCAGCTGCTCGTCCTCGGTCATCGGCCGGCGTGAGGTATGGGACGGCCTGGTGGGCGTCCAGCTGATGTCTGGATGCCGAAGAGTACGGAGAATAATTGCACCAGGAGCTGCCAGAAAAACCCTGGTGGCAGCTGGAGACGGTGGGATCAGCGCTAGGGCCTGCCGACACGCTGCTATACTTGTATTCCGTCTTATACTCGGGGGTGGCGGTGCCGGCTGTGGCTGCCGGAGACCAGAAGGGTAACGTGGAAGCCTTTCGGCCGTCCCGCGTCCCTGTGGGATCAGCTGCCAAATTATAGTACGTGGGGCCATTGTAATGCTGATGGTTCAGAGCCACCGAAGAGTCGAATGCGGTGGCTCCGGCATGGTGGTTCTCTGACGGCGAATAATTCCACGGTTGGCCATGATGCGAATGCCTAATAACACTGGGCTCTGCACACTCGCCGTAGCCGCCTCCGGAGGTCAATCTTTTGGCGGGAATGTGAAGCGGGCCTGCAGAGCCGCTGTTGCTGGTCACGCTGGCCGGCGACGAGCTGGACGTGGCCGACGTGGTGGCTGCCGGAGGTGGCACCGTCGCCGGGCTTGTCATTCCGCTGTTGCTGATCGGCGTGGCGGCACTCTGGGGGGCAGGTGGGGGGCTTTCTTCGTATAGGCTGCCGTTCATCATGGACCACCACGTCACCCCGGTGGAAGTCCCCGCTCCGGTGGCTGGAGAGGATCCGGGGGGATGCACATGGTCGTACAGGGTGGGTTGGGCGGCGCACGCCACGGGGTCCGCGATGTTGAGGATGATGTTCGCGCGTTGATGGGATCACAGCATTGAAAGATTCGGTAGCGGGGCCGAACAGCAGGTCACAGTCAGGCGCCAGACGTTCAACCAACAACACGTTTGCACAAATGTAGAGCCAGGAGCAGCAGCACAAACAGCAAAGACGATGAAGATTACGACGAAGACGACGTCCAAGGAAAGAGGATTATGAAAAAAATAATTGCACCACAATGAATAAAATGAGTCTTGTTTTTTTTTGGCACATTTAAAAAGTTCCAACAGTTTCCAATTTTCTTTAATATTTAAATTTCGCAAATGTTTACTACCGCACAACTATCTGACACACTTCAGGTGTGTACACATAAATCAAATCCATGCACAATACGTATACAAAAACAGCGTTTTATGAGCCGTAAATTAATTTATTGGCGCTCGTAACTTTTACTTGATCGTTCCTTAACACTATTTAGGGTGCCCACTTTTTTTCTTAATATCGTTTGTCTGTTTAGTTCTGAAATAAATTTCAGACCCTAATAAATAATCACAGTAACAGAACCAGCAGTTTAGTAATACGCACAAATTGGCTGTCACTTTTTTTTCTACCTGTGCCTAGGTTTATCTGAACATCGAAGATTTTCCAAATAAATTTAATTTAATAATTTTTTGTAATTGATAAAAATATTTGTTTGTCGCGGAAGATCGCGATCTGACATGAGAGGAGCGCAACGTCAGAACTAACAACACAGCGTACAGGTTGCGAGCACACACTGAATTCGTGCGAGTTTCTCGCGTTCACTTCTGTCGGATCAAATAGACGACGCGCGTGCGATCTACCGGCAGTCGCGGCGAAACGTTCCCACAAGCGGTCGAACCTAGCTACGACACATGTCTCGGGCACTGAAATCCACGACCGTTTTCATTAAATCAACCCTATGGGTCGTAGATTGAACCGCACCTCGGTCCTATTAGACTTTGCCCGTTCCTACTGGAGTCGAGCTGCATTTTCGCCAAACTATTAAATAGTTTGGCGAATTTTCCTACCCGAACAATTTTATATGCAAAATTTTACTCCCCATAAGTTACGGTCAAGGTTTTTGCCACCCATTTTAATTAAATTAGTTTTTAAGAGCCTTTTTTTAAATTTATTACTATCACAAACCCTAAATTACAAGCTTTAAAACACCTAAATTATAATTATTTTTTCCAATATAAAATATTATGGTTAAGAAGATTGTTATTTCTCTCTTTATGTTTAAAACATTTTTTGAAGAAATTGCACAGTCTAGTGGTAATTTACTTCATGAACGCAATCATTGATCATACTAATGATGGAAGCATCCAAAGATAATTAAATGGATACAATTATCTTATTTTAATTAACTTGAATACCTACTTCCTCCACATCTAATATAAAAACACAGGATAAATTAAAGTACTTTTAAACAAAAAAGCAATTTTATTTACATCCACCTGGTTGAATCCACCATGTTTTGAATTAATTATCCGATTCCAGGTAGAATAATTGTTTAAAATAAGCACGATCAGCTACTGTTTAGTGATCATTTACTTTAAACATTTGATGCTTTTGTATTATTCATCAGAAAACATTAATTTTAAATTCAATGAAATTTCCTTGCTTATTTTTGTAAACTTTGTGATAAAAAAGTAATTGTAGCCAAATTTAATCAAAATTATTTATTACATGCCATATATTACCTTGCGATTTAAAATAAATCAAAAATATTTTGTTGCAAATAAATTTGCGTGATTTATTAGCAGCAGGCGTTGGACATTTCCAATGATTATGTCATTGCGTTTGAAAACTTTTGCATGAAACTAACACGTCATTTCTATAATTGTATTAATTAATTTGCAACAATGTCACTTGCGTACAATGTTGTAAACAAAATATTATTTTGATTAAACACATATATTGTGTAAAACTGTTAACCCTTACTCAGCCTGCCACCCCTCGATCTAATTTCCTGAGTGGCTTTTTTTTCATAAAAGCTACAACGAACAAAAACTTTTTCCAACAGCATCGCAGGGAGCATTGAATCTTATCTCGTAAATGGCAGAACGGCGCTTTTTTGCAGGTGAACGAACCAACTCTTTTAATCTGATATTGGCACAGGGCCAGTCAAAGTATTCTGAGCTGCAACTTTCATGGTGAAAAATAACATAACTTGAAGACGATGCAAAATTAAGTGTAGTCTATTTAAAGCAAATTTAATTAGGTAAATGTTATGGGTTTTCCTAATTTATTCAGTAGCTTATCTAGTGGTTACTCCTCATGGATTCATTTATGTAACTACACCCCTTTATGAATAATTAAATTCTTGGTATGCAATATTATATTGGCTTCTGCTCTTCGTGACCGAATCTGGGCTTGGAAATTATTGTTTTTCATGACATTGTACACTTTAATTCTTGGTGTGGACACAGGGCTCAGCTAAATGATTAAACGATTTTGTAAATGTTTTTGGAAGACGAGTATAGCAAACTTTAGCGATCTAGCGGGTCATACACGTTGTGCAAAAAAATTGTCATAATAATTTTAAGACCTTTTGGCGTTTCTAAAATAAATCACAGTTATTTTGCAAAATCGCCCATATATTTTAATTCAAATATTTTCTCTGGAAAAACTTGTGATATTACTCACTGTGCGGTGGCGTGCAATGCCCATATCTTTGGAAAGTAACAGCGTAACGGCGTTCGTGTTGAACCGAACGTCAGCGAATGGGGAGCGGGCTTCGGTCGTCCAATATGCAGTTAGTGCCGACCCGGCGGATCCGTAGACTCCCCTTCCGCCCCCACTACCCCTCCTATCACCTCCCAGAACGGAGATTGGATGGCCATAGCGAGCGGCTATGGAACATTCAAAAGGAGGCAATACAATTGATATCAACGCTCCTCGTTGATTACGTATTCATGAAGAATTTTCAGAGTAAGAATGTATATCAACAACCATTATTGTAAAAAAGCCTAATTTCTTTATTTTGGAAAATGAGTAAAATTATTTTGAAAACTACAAAAAAAATCGCAATTGTAAAAAAATTTGTTAAACAATGCCTAGCAATATTTAAACACATCTTATGTAAAATGTTAAATTCAAAAAATTAGTAGAAAGTTGGAATGTACTCGTAATGTTTAAATTAGTATACCAAAATATGATACAAGATACCAAAAGATACCAAAAGATGATACAAGATCTAAAATATAAAAACATTTAGAAATCGTTTTTTCATTCGTCCATACAATTTCATTGATTTCCAATTTCTCCTATACAAAGTTTTATGCTTGTCTATAGATCTATTTAAGTTTTAAGATTTATTTTCGTAAAAAAATGTTTGAACCCTCTATTGGGAAGTAGTAAAATTAAGTTACGAAAATAACAACAGAGGATAGAAGAAACAAACCTGGGCTTAATTTACATATTCATGGCATAAATTTCCCTTATAATCGAAGATTTAAAAATTTTGTTACGAGCGTTTAACCCCTCCCCGGAGACGTTTCCAATTTTATACAAGATTAAAAATACTCGCTTTTGTTTAATTTAAAAATTTAATAAAAAAAAGTTAGCCGGTAGATGCGATTGGTAAAAAATATTTCTAATTAAATGGCTATTACTTTAATTTATGATCAATATAAAGGCTAATTAGCACGCGATTAAAATGTAAATGTAAACAATAAGTGTAATAAAACGTGTCGTAAAATTTAACAGTTTATCAAATGTTAATTGTAAAATAGTTTTTGTATTTTATTTAAAAAAAAATGGAAGCCTTTGGAACCTTTCAAAGTGTAAAGGAATGTTTAATATCAAGATAAAAAAGACATGGTACTCTACCTTGGTGAAAACTGGCCAGGCTAGTCCCAGGGAACACTCTCGAGAGTCTGAAAAGTAAAAATTAGTTAGCATAAACACAAACGAATTTTATTATATACAATGTAGCACTTCAAAGCCCATGATTCATAATTCTGTCTTTCATGTTATTTAAATTCCACGCCAGACATCGACATGTTTAAGTTGATTTAAGATATAGGTGCATTAGTTTAAGAGACTTGAACACTAGTATGTTTGGATATGTTTACGTAATAAATAAAAGTTAAAAAAAATCCTTGCCAAATGTTTTTCTGTTCCTCATCTTATGTCTATTTATGCTGCATATTAAATAAAAAATAAAAATGGTGTCGATATTTAAAAAAAAGCGGTTTTTAAATCATAATGGAAAGAATGATTTCTTCATAAAGAAACTTGGTCTGTTAATGACCAACATTATTCAGGATACAATTTTAAAAACAATACATCTTTATTCATGTGGTAACAAATTTTCAAAACTGTTATTCTAAAAATCAATCCAACATAAAAATTCTATCAATAAGCATGCTTTCTAGTGTTACAAAAATAAATACCTACACCATCCGGTGTGTGAAACTTACATCGCGATATGTTTGTTGTTAACGCTGCGCATCAGACTTTATTTTGGCAAGAGCGCCATGCTCTATAAACATGAATTATTGCCCGGGAATAACTTAAATCCTGTCAATTTGAGAATGGGAAACAAAAATAAACGTTTGCGGGTAATCTTTGTTTTATGTTGTCGAACACGTTTCAAGTCGATAAATTTTTGGGGAAATGATTGCAAGATTATAATCCATAGAAGAAATAATAATTGAAAAAAGAAAATAGTTGTATGCTATAGCAAATATTAACTATAGTTATTTTTTTTTGGTATGAAAAAGGATAAAAACTATAATTAAAGTTATGTTGTATCATTTATTTCATTAAATTTTGAATTGAATTAAAAATCTCACGTCATCTTTTGAGTTTAAAGAATATATAATATAATTCTATTTTGGGGTTTATCATGTTGTTCGCAATGAAAGTATCATGGCTAAAATCTCACGCGTGAGGGATAGGGGGGTCTACCACATCTCACCAAATCTCACCAAGGGGGAGGGGGGTCCAAATTATCAAAAAAATACCTCCCTTAATTAATGGATGTCCCCTTAGTATATCGGCCGATATATTATTTTTTTAATTATTCACGAAAAATTTTTTTAGGAAACATACACTATAGTACTATCGGCCAAAAGTAAAGAAATGTTTTAAATTTTTTGTTAAATTGCTCAGCCTAATATTCTCTTAACTTAAAGTGGAATAAATATATACTGTAGGTACTTATTTGGTATTAATTATAATTGTTTATTAAAACAAACAAACAAAAAGTTAGTAGCGGGTAGTGTAACCATTATATTTGATAACTTCTGCACATTAGGAATTTTGTTTGTTTTTATAAAAAATATTTATATATAAAAACAAACAATATTCCTTAACAATTATTTAAAAAAAAAAAGTTTAGTATAGGAACATTAACTGGAAGATTTTCTTAAAATAAGAAAAAAAATAACAGACAAATAAAACACTAAATAAAAATAATATAATCCAATTTTTGCTATGAAGAAAAATCAAAGCCTTGGTTGTATCTGGGTTTAGTCTATTTCTTTTTGCTGAGTTTATCGTCCCTTTCTCTGAAAACACTGCTAAATAAATAAATAAGTGCTTGAGAAAATAATAAGGGCAGATCATCCACCATAAGAGTGAATTCACGTTTTTTGAAAGTACAAGTAAATTGTTGTAATCAGCTATTTTCATTTTAAAACTTTCAGAAACTGATTTCAAATTTACATACCTTCTAGATCCTAGAAGGGATGCAAATTTGAAATCAGTCTCTGATGGTGCTTCCCCAAAAAATTCTCTATATGCTTATTAGGGCTGGGATTATTATAATGACAATACATTAATATTAGAACCAATAAAATGCCAGTATTCCATAGTGACGTATTTTATCACAGCGGCAATAATTTTTATCATCTTGTTTACACGTTACTAAGAATTTTGACACTTTTTTTGATTTAACATCTGTTGTCATTTAAATTCTGTATTTGATATATATCAATAAAATAATGAATTATAAACTCTAAAAGATCGATGGGTTGGTGTAAACGATAATGAAATTAAGGTAAGTTTGAATAAATAAGGTTTATTAAAGTCTTTTTATATTTTAAAGCACATTTTAATTTTAAATGTCAATCTGACAAATTTTTTAATTCCTAAAATTCATTATATTTTCTCACTAAATATAACTCGTGGTATGATTAATAATCGAAGATATTTACTCATTGAAACCGAAGCAGCACATTTCACTCGTCCTGCGGACTCTGAAATCTGCAGCTCGGTTTCAATTCGAAAATATCATCGATGATAATAATACCACTTGTTATATTATGGGTGAAAATAAATGAATAATATATTCATTGAATATAAATGCATATTTAAGTGGTTAGGCAATTAAAAAAAGGGCGATAGGCCGATATATATCGGTTTCGGCCAGAAAAATCTAGGTATCGGCCGATTATCGGTATCGGCCAAAAAAAGCATATTAATATTGAGTAAGATCTTACAACATCTTACTCAATGATATTACACTACTTAAAATTAAAAGTTATTTTTAAGTTTAAACCCATGGCCTATAATAATATTTAAAAAAGACTAATACAATTTTACGAAGGTGGATATGTCGAGGCAAATGTGCAATGAGAGAAAAATCAGATTTAACTTTTAATTCTAAATAATATTTCCCTATTTTATTATGCTGAGCATAATATGTTCTAAAATAAAAATTAAGGATACTTTTTTCTTGGGCCAATGATAATTTTTTCAATTTTGTGCACATTTTAAGTTTTAATAGTCTAATATTATTTTTTTAGGAAGCCTAAAAACCTTACAAATTTAATACGAAATCACCTATATGTAGTATATTAGGTACCTAATATTAAAAACAGTTTTGGAGTTTTAAAAATTGAAGCTTTCATTTTTTGCTAGTTTTTAAGAACAGGCATTTTATTACAAACATGGTTTTGGCCCCAGACTTAAAAATAATCTCTGTTTCAGAAAAAGAATCACGTTCAAATTAACGTATGGGCGTGGCTTTGGCAACATGGATTACAAGTTGTTTATGGAATTATCACGTTTCTTGAGTTTTCGAATTTCGACTCACCTGCTAGACAACTCGAAGGGATGAAGAACTCTTTCCACGTCCCCGAACAGCTTGACGCATTGGATTTAACAGCCACAGGAAAATATTGAGCCTGAAACAAAATGATCACTAGTTAGGAAGGTACACTGAGAAAAAAAATATTAAAAATTAAATTTCTTTTACAATACGGTATATTACGGAATAATTTACTAATACGTTGTTTAGTTCTTCCAGTTTTAAATTTTTATGAAATTTAAAAATATTTTATAATTAAAACCCATTATGACCATTACCTAAATATATATATTTTTATATAACTTATGTAAACAAATTATCCTAAACAATGGTTTTGTCAAAAATCGTAACAACTGGCACTTGATTCGTACCATCGTAAAAAAATCCTGAAATCGTGTTATCTGGCAACACTGGCTGTTTTCAACTCTACCACCGATATGTTAATAGTTAAGGTGCCACATTGTATATAAGTTGAAGAGAATGCATGAAAAACTGATTTTTATTCAAGATATTATAAAACCTGTTGATGAACATTATGCCTGTTAAAGATTAGCTTCATGTGAACCATTAATAATGTTAATTAAATGTGAAAATATCTTCCAAAACTAATAAAAGAGACAAACTAAACCTCGTTAAATTAAAATACGTATGTCTACATTCCTATTAATTTTATCCATATGCCTAAGTTATAATTATGTTGTCACCGAGATATTGTGTAAATAATTGTATTTTATTTCTTGCTGTTGCGCTTACATTTAACATATGTGCTTGTCTAATGGGGTTGGGAGTTTTTATTATTATTCTTTTAATGTAACTACTGAAATAGTCAACATGCTACAAAATGCATGTTATTAAAAAGTAGAAATAAATGTTAGTGATATGTCAATACCATGTATTTATAAAAAAACACAAGCTTAAATCGAGTTTTTACTATAGAATTAATATTTAAAAAAAAAATTCAAATTGCGATATTAGTTCTGTTGTTACTTTTATGACGTATTTTCAAGGAAGCGAGTCGTTTATGACACCGCAGTAACGTTATCCAAGGGTAATTACTTAATATCCGTGTACAGCTTTATAGGTCCATATTACGATTAAATTTTACCATTCGTTCATGTTGATCTTAATGATAAACAAGACTTAGTTATAGGCAGTCAGCCTTAATTAATTAGGTAGGGATGAGTTGCGATAAATTATATTTTAACTATAAATTTAGAAATACTTGAAATAAGTGGTGCATTTAGAAAATGTTGATGCACCAAGGTGGAAAATTTTGTTTTAATTTAAAGTTTACTAAAAAAAATAATGTATTTTACTGTTTTATTAAAAAAATATCGGCAGTTCAATAGTTTTTAAGGTACAGGGTGTTAACATAAATAATTGTTTATTAAAATAATTTTTATACAAACCAACCTTAAATTGCGTAATAGTGTTTAATAACATGAGTATCTAGAAAAGTTTATAAATGAGTTGCATACTATACTTTTACGAAAAATACTTGTTATTATCTAAAAATAATTTAAATTAAATATTTGTATAGAGCGACATCTTTATAAAACAATAGAGTAACGAATCTGTATTACCGGCCAGTGAAAATGTCAATTTTTTTGTGTAAATCGAAATATATCCCTTGAAAATTGACTAACTACATGTAGTGCACTTTTTCAAAGTGAAAGTGAAGAAAATATTTTATGGACACTCCACGGTGGAGTCTCCACCCGAAATTAGGTAAAATCTAGTTTACTGCCGGCGAAATTAAAAGGTCAGTACAATGCTCATATAAACTTTTCAAATATTGGCGTTAATGAGATAATAAAATATTTTTTACATTTAGTATTATTTTACAAGGGGACTTTATTTTAACGATTTTATGATATTTGACAACTGTCAATTAACTTAAAACTAACTTCCGCCCGTGACTAAAACGCCATAAAGCCACAACTGTACGAATAGGCGTTTTAAAAGTGGCAGCAGAAATAATTATTTAAGGACAATTTTTATTACACTTTTAAAAAAATGCCTTTATTAATGTGATCATTTTTTATAATAACACTTTTATAATCTAATAAAGATTTTAGCGGAACATCCCAGATATAATAAAATAATATAATAATAATTAGGTAGTGTTCTAAACTTTTAAAATATATGATATAATATAGCTTAGTAGTATAAATAAAAAGTTTGTATAATAATAATTATTATAATAAATTATAATTTTCAACAAATTTTATTAAAATATGCCTATAATAAACAATTTTCAATTAAAGGTTCAGTAAATTATAAATTGCCTAAATAAATTGTTTAAAAAATGTTTATTTATATCATTTAATTTACACAATAAAAGTAAAAATATGTTTGGTAGTACCAGATAATACTTTTTTGTTTAAAACATAAACAATTCCATTTTCCAGATATTTGATTAAAAAATTGTCAATTTCGTTTTTATGCAATAAGAAAGTATTTTATAAAACTTATTTTCGTACAACAAAATCTTCAAAATTTATTAATTTTAGCAGTTTACTATAAAATTCTTTTGTTAACAACATGTTTAATAAAAAAATCGTTTACGCACACGGTCACAATAATTTTGGACAATTTTATTTCTGTTTAAAGTGCTAATTTTTTTACTGTTGGCAGTTCTTGGAAAATCAAAATTCATGTGTAGCAATTATAATAGTAATTATAAACTTAATCCTTTAATAAAAATTAACATGTGCAAAATGCCCCATAGTTTATTTTAAATTAAAAATTACTTTATTAATACATTTAAAAATTCGTTTTTTATTACGAAAAAAAAAATGTTTAATTAAACATAATAATAATTAATAATAATTTGTAGATCGTTTATTTGGATGTAAAAATTTAAGTTATGGGCAGTTAAAGACGATTGTTATTTATAATTAATTAAATTAAAATAAATTATTCCTGGTAGTTACCTAATTTTATTTTTTCCGGAAATTTTACACACCTTTAACATAGCTTATAATTTTTGTGATTTAGATCCACCCTTAGTACTTTATACGATTTTTAAAAACAAATTTGAGAGACGCAGGCTCAAGTAATGGACGCCATGCGGCGCGTTATAAAAGGGCGTCCCTTCTGCGTAGGTATTATCAGGGATATAATTGATATTTGTGGTAAAAGACCCCAAAGCAAAATGAAATAGTTTTGCTTGGTCTTTATCCGTTCCAAGATGTCTCCATAAACTCTGATTACTGACGCAAAGGACCTCATCCCAGGGAACAATAACAGAGAAACTTTTTCCCCTTTTGTCATTACTTAAAAAAAGTGTCTCCGTTACGGGAAACTTTTTCCTCGTCTCGGAAACTTTTGTTTTCTCCGGGTCCGGTGTTTAATTTGTCACGGTCCGTTTGACTCGGAGCATTAAAGTAAACAATTCGGGCCCGGAGACAAAGGATATTGCGAAAACAAGGATATTTTATTTAATGCACGAGGCTTAAGCGGCTGTCTATTCTGCGAAGGACAATTAAACGCAATCGGTCGTACTAAATCATGGCAAACTTGATTACGCGAAGGCGTTGCAACTATTAAAATACGGACGTGAAAGATAAGGAGATTTGTTAAGCAAATTATAAAATCCTTTTTTTCATAAGAAAAATCTAAACTTATTCAACATTTTATATTCCCCCGATAGTTCTCATAAAAAGGGTTTTCTGAATATACCTACCATAATTCAAAAATGAAAAGAAAAGTATCGAATATTGTTGTTTACCTATATATAGAAATTAAGTTTAGTATTTTTATCTAAAAACACAGCTTTGGTCTTGCTTAAACATCGTGGTCTCATTATTAGTCTTTTATTAACTAAGAAAAAATATTGTTGTTGCACTTTTTGTGGGAATAATACCAATTTTTATTAGCATGCATCCATTTTGTATGTCTTGGTTAATAATAACTTGCTTATCGTAGAATGGCGCACTTATTTTTAGATTGTTCCAGACTTGAAAGGACTGAAAAACCCGTTGGTTCGGAACATGACCATCGAAGAAACGAAAGCCTTTGGAAGCACTTAGCAAAAAGGACGGTTTTACGATTAAATCTCATTTCGAAGCAGACTTGGCATAACAATCCGGGTGCTTCTCTGAATATTAAATTCCACCATTCCTGATAAAGTAAAACAGGCTAGCCAGTCAGTCATTCAAAATATATATTCAATTAGATTTTCGTTTCTTATAAGTTTAAATATACTGGGTGCACCATATATTCAAGTATCCTTTTATGTGTACTCTATGAGTATTTTTTTTATTTGAAGAGCTAAAAGGTCGTTTCAACTGAGGAAAAGTTGGGTAATTATAAACCTTTAACATGAAATTTACAAATTGAAAAAACGCCAGCGGTTCTAAAAATATTTGAAAAAAACTAAAAACCTTTTAAAAATAAAAAACGTTATAACTTTATTATTTATGAAAATGTTGAAAAAAAGTAAATTTTACATGTAAACATACACATCTACATGTTTATCCAATTTTTTCGCTACTATGTTTTGAGTTACCATCACCATCTTTTGTTTTTATAATGGCCACCATAAACTTTGATGTTTTAATACATCGTTGGATTCTTTCTTTTTTTTCTATCTACCCATATACAATTCTGATATTGCGGCCATAGGAAAAACAAAAGATGGTGGTGGTATCTCAAAATCTAATGGGCAAAAGAAATCACAAATTGGATGAAAATATAGATAAATGTGTTTACAGGTAAAACTTACTTTTGTTTCGAAATTCACAGGAATAACGAAGTTATAACCATTTTTGGTTTTGACAGGTTTTTAAATTACTGAAAACAACTGTTTTTTTTTTCAACTTTTAAATATTATTGTTATACTTGTAATCATGCAACTTTTTTATAATTTAACTGACCTTGTAGCTTTTTAAATAAAAAACCCATTCATAGAAGGATACTTGGTGCACCCTATATAACAGATTTTGTAGGTCCATAAATTGAGTGACGGTTACTAAATAAAATAAAATAAAATTTGCGAAAGTATTAATTTTTACATTCTTAAATTATTTATTGTTCTAAAAATAATATACCTCTGTAGAGTAATTCAATATTTGGCATGAGTCCAATATTTCC